GCCTGGCCGAGACACCCACGAGTGTCTCGACCAGGCCGAGACACCACGGGTGTCTGCAGATCTGAAAATCATATTTTGGCAGTTTAAAGCTGTTTTTCGACCGTTAACCGTCTGTATTTGTTTCAACTGATCTGATATCATCCATGAACGTGGTTAAGTGGTTACAACTGAAGATACTATCGAATCAATCATTCTTATCTGAAAAGAGGGGTCCCTAAGCCTATAAATACAGCTACAGAGCCTTCATTTTTTCATATTTGGAATTCTCGAGCGTTGGCGAAGCCCTGCTAAATTGAGGATTGAAGAGCTACAAATTTCAGAGAGCAGGAGGAGACTTCAGTGAATTCTTCGGTATAAAGAAGGAGAGTTCGATAGATCTGTAGCCTGGTTCGTTTCATTGAGATCGCCCTGTTATGGTGATCTCAAGAAGAGTAGTTATCTCGCTATTGCCGAGATAATTGCTTCAATTTCTTAATGCCTTTACGAATCAACGAAGCTCCGGATCTGATCTGATCATTTGGTGGTCCACGGATATCAATGTCCCCATCATAGGTCAAGATCCCACGTAAGAAGAAGACCGATAAACGATCTCTGTGTTTGTTTTGACGAGAATTGTAATTTTTATTTTCATTGAGTAAGAGTCTTATAAAAGACTATCTTTTTGTATTTTTATTGTAACGATTGAAGTTGTGTAATGATTACCTCAATGAAAAAACCAACTTTCTCCCAAAACAAGCTGGCGACCACAGTGGGAGCCAACAGTCTTGTCACCGAGGCTGTCGTGCCATAGCCAACGATCAAGATCCCGGTGAACGAAGAGGTCGAATACGAATTTGACCAGCAGAAGTTTGAGGAGTACGTCTCCTCCTCCTCCTCCTCCAGATCCGCCTCTCTTCGCAAGGGCAGGAAAGCCTCCTCCTCCTGAAAGATCTGCTGGTCTTTAGATCTGAATACCCAAGAAGGCGATCTCCCCATTGCCGCTGGCACAGTTGCACCTCGCAATGATCCGTCGATGTCCGATGAATCCAAAGTCGTAGATCTGGACACCTTATCAAAGAGGGCTCATCAGAGACGCCGCCAACGTGTCGCACGCCAATTGGCTATGGCTTTAGAGGAAGTGGACGAACTCCGCTACCAAGCAGATCTAGAGTTCAGAAAACGCCAAGTGGCTAAGCCGTCGTCACAACAAGCATCAGGGTCCTCCTCCCAACCGTCAACTAAAAAATGGGTTCATGTCAAATGAACCCGTTCTACCCTTGAGGAGTGTGTAGGCGTCTAAAAATGCCTATAGGTGTCTGCGCATAGCTCGAGACAAAGATAAGAAGATGAACACCATTATCCAAGTTGAAGGGGATTATCCGAGTCAAAGAAG